CTGAGCGGATTGAGCTTCAGCCACCATGAGGCCGAATCATGTAGGACCTGTCGTAGGAAATGGTGGCTCACGGTGGCTCCAGTGACAAGCCTACAAAGCATACAAGACTCGCTCAGAACCTGCTTTGGGCCCTTTTAGTCCCCAAAGACACTTGCACTCAGGACCGAACACTTGAACCCCTGTAATCCCCAAAAAAAAGGGCAGGAAACCCCGGTCCCTTCCAGACCCCTCCTCTGCCACTGAGAAGTCTTCGCCGGTGACCTCTTGCAAAATCTCAGCACTCACTTCCCTTCGCGAGGACAGCGTCCCGGCCGTGGCCGCCGTGGGCGACATCGTGGTCTCGGAGCGAGCACGGTTGGACAAGGTGGCAGTGAGCTCCTCCTCGCGAACCTTGAAGACTTCAGAGAGGTTTCCTCAATTCGATCAGGTTTCTGCTCAGTTCGATCCATCTTGGGGTTGACGCGCTTGGGACAGCTCATGAGCTGAGCTGTGGGAGAGTTCGGCTCCGGTGTGTCTTCGGGAAAAAACAGGTCCGACTGTGTTCTACAACAAAGGTTGGGCTGGGATGGGGATCAGACGAAAGCATGTTGCCTTTGTGAGTCAGTCACTCAGTCTAGGGTAGGTCCTGGACTAGCCATGCAAGAACTATATAAGAACCTGTAAAGATTCATGAGATGCTGAGAAAGTAGTGGGGAGAAAGTCACTTGAGAGAGGAGGGGGTGAACGAAAGGTAGCAGGCAATCACAAGTAACCCTGGTAGAAGTCCATGACGGCGTGAACCGGCGCAGGGGGGATTTGATCCAGGGAGGAGGGGCCCCCCCCCCCCGACGAACAGAATCAACTCTTACAGGACCAAACTCAATGCACAATCCCAACGCCTGATTGTAATACATTTTTGCTAAAGCAAGGAGAACTCAGGTAGCTCAAGCTACCTTTCGTGATTATTTGCAGCACCCTCTTATCTTTCGAGGGACTGTTTAAGATCATTTGTGGCTCTCACCAAACACACAAACACCCCAGCAACCCCTCAATCCGTTGGTACAATTCTTGCTGTACAATCCATCATCCATCGATTCTTGGGAAGCTCTGAATGAGTGTTCAAGTTGATAATGATCACAACATATAACCAGTCAGGTATCGTCGCACACGAAGAAAAACTGTTGTTGTCCTGACTGGAAGGACCAGTGGTTATCCATTTATAGTGGTTAGTTTTGGGTTCAAGCACGCTTGATTCTTCTCATGTCCTTGAACACTCAAGCAGCCAGAACAAGCTTGGCACCCTGAAATGTTGGTTCCTCCTTCCGGCATGCAGCAATACATCAACACGTCACACTGGCGGCACATGTTAAAAACATCAGACCAAAATGTCCATCTGGTCTGCTCAGCTTCTTCAGCCTCTAGAACCATGGGGAGACTCAGAATCTGGTGAACCCCGTCCGACTGGCTTGGCAGGCCGCTTCCACGCGAAACAAAGGCGGGAAAAAAGCATGCGGAATCCAAGGATCCCTTGCTCACGGCCTTGTCAAGCATGCTGGGGCGCCGTTTCGGACCGCTCGTCAAAGACTCCGCCTGGGCAGCCCAGCGACGAAGAAGGCGGTGATGCGAGGTCGCCCAATTCATGTGATTGGTGGGAGTGACATGTGAAGAAGTGCCCGGAGAAGGTACCTTTCATTCAACAAAAATGCTAACTTTCAGCAGGGAGTGCGGGGAAACTGTTTTTCCCCTAGATCTCTAGAGACAAATCTTTGAGGAAGAATGTGAATCACCTGCAATTCATAACTTGCCCGGAATCTCAACCGGTGAAAAATCCTGTTTCCAAGTTCTGCGTTGCTCTTCGGGCCATGTTGAAATTGATTGATCCCAAACTTTGATCTCAAGCCTGTGGTGTGGGGAAGATTCTGTATCCAAACCTTCAACTGCTGTCCAGTGTCATGCTTTGGCTTCGGATTTCTGTATGAAGTGTCCAGATTCCCGGATGATGTTGGAGCACTTGTACGGATTCCATGATGGATGTCCTCTCCAGCGATGTGCCGGGCATCTGCGCCCCGTCTACAAGCACAGTAGGCACCGACTCTTTCGCTTGAAGCTTGGGTCGGTCGTCCATGAGGCAGAGACAACTTGTTTGTGGGAATTCAAAGGCACGGAAAGGGAAACCATTGGCCGATGACGGAGATGGAAAGAGAGTTGTGTCATGCAGTGAGTCATACACCGGCAAAGCGAAGCTTGGCGATCCAGTTGGGAGAGTGTGTCGGGAGACATCTCAAGACCCCAGGCTCACCCAGAACTGCTTCTGCCCCAAGGAACCACACAAGCCGTCGCAGGTCACCGGCGTGAGAGGGGTGAGAGCTCACCGCAATAAACGGGTGTTTGCGGCAGTAAAAAAGAAAAACACAACGACACATAATATATATATATAATTATATATATATAGAGAGAGAGAGAATTATATAGAAATTGTTTTTACTGCTTGTCACAGCTTATCACACAAATGTCTGGACTGCTCTGGGGAGAAAACAAGGGTGACAGGAAGGGAAAACAACAAAGGGAAGCAATAATCGTCATGCCAGAATTGAGAACCAAGAGAAGCCCAACAACAGACTTGACAATGAAAATCCGTCTTCACACACTGGCCGTCTCCTCATCCCTTGAAAAAGTTGAAGAATCCTGGCCAGGGTGCGGCAACCAAACCTTCCACATGTTGAAGAATCTCCCTTCAACCCAGCGAATTGGAGTCTCAAACAAAGAATTGCTTTCTCAAACCATCTACAGTATCATTCCATTCAGCATGTCAAGGTTCCACGCCTTCATATCACTGAACTCCTCCTGGCCCTTGCCATGATCGCACTCCGCATGCGAATCCTTCGAGTCGGACGCCCGCATCACGGACTCCAAAGCACGTGCGTCCTCCCTTCCTTCGCTCCCGCTGCTCTCGGGAGCACCCGGAAGTGGCGCTGCATCGGGCGACACGGAGAGGAGGCGGTGCTCCCCGACCTTGGACCAGGTCGGTCGCGGTCGAGGTGGTCGGGCACAACTTGGTGTCTGGGGGAGGTTTCGGTTCGGACAAAGCACAGAGGACGCAAGTCAAAACGAAATCATAGCAACTCGACACTTTAAGACCCCTGGTTGCTGCCCAGAGTCCTTGGAAAGCTCGTTGGCCTCGCGAGAGGTTTGATTCACCTTCCCGCGAGCAACACGAGATTTCAAGCTGCGAGATGACACGGGCACACCCAAGTGCGAGATATCCATCCTCAGAAAGCGACTGCCGTGGGGTGCGAGCCGCACCCTGCGAGGCGGAGTGCGAGGTGGGCGAGGCGCAGCACGGCTTCCAGGCTTGAGCCCGGTTTTGGTTTGGGATTCCGTTGTGGCAAATCCAAGACCAGTTGTAGCAAAAGGCCTGCTTTTCAGACAATCCTACACTATAGCCTATAGCAGGATACCACTTGGGATTTGAGCCCAGATGGTTCCACAGGGCGGACCCGGGCCCCGCGTTCCGCTTCCCACGGACGACGGGAGTGACTCCCAAGCGTCTGCAAGACCTGCATAGCCAAGCCAGCCTGCAAGTGTCGTCTGGGCACGAACGGAACGAGACAGGTGCCGTGACCGTCGGCACCGGGAAAAGACAGCAGTTCGAACGGCAAGCACGAGCGAATGGAGCGAACATCCGAAGTTGAAGATTAAGGAGAAATAAGTGCTATTAGCTGCTAAGGTGAATTCTTCACATGTTGGAATTCCAAGCAAAAGTCGGGGGATCCAAACCATCCTGAGGGGCTTCAGACTCTTGGCCCGGTGGCTTGTTTCAGTTCCATCTTCCAAAACCGCCTACTACAACCTGCAGCCTGCCGGAGCTTTGCAGCAGCCTGCCTTGAGCTTGGGAGTCGAGGATCGACGACGTGGCATTGGATTCATCGTCGTCGTCATCACATCGGCCAGGTGCTGCAAACGTGTATCCAGCTGCTCGAGGCGCTCGGCCAGCGAGTCGTGCAAGCCCTTGATCGCCTCCCATCCACGAGGGAAGACAGGTGGCTACCCCAGGACTGAGAAGCTGGGAAGCTTCCAACAGGTTCTGAAGCAAGGGATCTTTTGTATCCTGGTTGGTTCGGTCACCAACAGGCCGCTTGAACAGGCCCGGTTAAAAGGTCACTGTTTTGGGACTTCAACAAAGCGAAAACGAACTGAAGAAGCAAGCTGCGCTGGTCTACAGCAAGCTGCGCAGGACGAGCGTCACATGTTGGCACGAGCGTCAAGCAAGGACCCCTTCGATCGCTCGATGAACGAGTGAACGAGTGAAATCGAAGACTGGGGTGATTGGAGGATGAAAAGTGAAGACACAGATCATTCTTCTTTCGCAACTCTTGGAGGTGCCACATGCGGTATCCAACTTCCATCCAGGTGTCCAAGTAATGGGTGTAGTGAAATCCGTGTCCTTCGTTTCCTTTCCGTTTCGTTCGGGTGAATGAATCGCATCTGCACATCTTTTGGCTTGCACAAGCGGAATTCAAACCTTGAGATGCGAAATCTACATGTTTCAGCCAGCTCATTCACTTGGAGGCACTTCGTTCCCCATATTGTGATCAACTCTAAATGTGCCGTTGTGAACAAACCCCTCATAAGCCTTCATGCAAAGCCACCGGCTCCGGCGCCTGTAGCACTAGGCCCGACTCGGGCTCGCTGATCGACAAGCTAGGCACGGTCTCCAAGGGAGCAGGAATCGACATCGCTGCGTTCGGCGGTCCCGCCATGGCATCAGATCCACGCGATCGAGAGCTGGGCCGCGCGATGGGGCGATGTCTAAGACTGGATGAGAAGATGCAACGAGAAAGGGGGCCTCAAGACCTCAAGGCCACGGATGGAACCCATAGCCCAGAGCAGAAACCACTGGCGTCAAGCTCTTGAAAAGAGGAGTCCCGGTTCGTGCCCACGGTGCTTACACCCCAAACCAAAACCGCCTTGATCAGGTGCGATGTTCTAATCATATTGATCCTGGCCATGCCATGCCATGCCTCAAAGAAGGGACTGCTGCAGCAGATCCTTTCGTCTCCAACAAATCCTCAGCTGTGCAAACCAGAAAACAATTGGCATTCTCCTCTGCCAAAGCCCACCACGACAAAACCACTGGGCCCGTGGGGGCCTGTTGGGCTAAAACCGAGCCAACTGTCAACAAAAAGAAAACACGACCGGTTGGACCGCTTTGTTTTCGTTGACTCCGGAAGTCCTGCTTCCAGCCATCCCTCCTGCCATCCATCCTTCGTCCTTTCACCTTCCGAGGTCGGCCCTGATCAACGAAACCCGCGGAGTTCAATGCAGCCGCGGAGTCTTTCAGCACCACCAAGGCTGCATTGCATAAAGGCCAGCTCATCTCTCCTTGCCTGAAGTCACCCCGAGAGTCCGACACCTACGATTGGGACCATGGGACTATGGCATGGTTGGGGTAGAAGAAAACCCAAAAAGGTGAATCAGAGTGAATGATTCTTGTGGGTCGAGGGCAGTCTGACTAAACTCAGTTCCAGCCCTTGAGGCTTAAGCACCCTCCCATTCCGACACCAGGTTGCAGGTAGGATTGTTAGGTTCAATGAAAATATCCTCCCACCCTGCCAAAGGCAGAAAAGGAAGAGTACCTTCTGAGCCAAGGATGCAAGAAGAACACCTTCTGAGCAAATGCACAAATGATGCAAGAAGAACACCTTCTGAGCAAAGGATGCTTAGTGATGTAGAAGAAAAAGAGAATATCCTCCCTCTAGTCAAAAAGAGCACAGAACCTTCCGGCCAGCCAGATTCGAGCAGTCCCCCAAGATGATTATCCCAATGAGATGTGCACGTCAGAAATGCCGAAGCCCTTGTATCCAACAACTTTCCCAGGTTGCTAGGATGGTGGCAGTAATGTAGACTGCTAAAAAAACGACCAGAATGGCTTTACATCTCCATCTAGAATCTATGGGGTGTTCTATTCATCAACCCTCTACAGAACACCCAAAAACCGGACTCACCAGACCTCCCCCCCCCAGCCACCACTGCACTTCCCGACCTGGCAAGGCAACGGCCTAAGGTGCCACCCAAGGCATCGGCTACGGAGCGATCCAGGGGCTCGGGAGACGCCTCTCAAGAGCTCACCTCTCTTTCACCCACTCACTAACTCACCAACCAGAAGCCCTCACCCACGAAAACCAACTCACCAGCCCTGGTGTTCAGGAACTCAAGTCACCCACTCACCAACTCACCAACTCGGCCCCAACATCTCCAGCGTCCGGTGGTGAGGAACGGGCGTGTGTGAGGGAGCCTGGTCGGTGAGTTCATCTGTCTCAGCCATTCACATCCCACAGACAGGTGTTGCTTAGACGAGTCGAACGAGTCTCGAAAAGATTCTGAATGCCCTGGAAAGATGTCTGCAGAGAACCGAATGCCTGAGCTGACAGCTTGCACGTTGTCTAGCTGCGAGTCTAGCTCCTATTCTGACCACACCCAAGAAGACCATGACACCAAGAGAACTGGTGGGCCAAACCATCTCTGGAGTTCCAGGATCCCAGGCCTCCAAAAGGTACTTCAAGCACCTCAATGCCACAGCGGCATCCTTCCGTCCTCTCTCCACCATCTCACCTCGTCTTCCGACGCCCACTGGGCCACGTGAGAGAACGCTGCGGCGGCTTGGGAAGGTATTATGAGGGCTCTAAACATTGGGGCTTCACCTCTTCCTCAAGTTCTGCATACTTGGTCCAAACTGGGTCCATCAACAAAGGATCAACAGGTTCAACCTTTAGTGCCTCCTTTGGTGCGGTGCTTCGGGTCTCACAACACCCAAATTCGCTGAAACAAAAAGCCACTCTCAGCGTCCGAACAAACCCACCCAAACTCTGACCACACCTGCTATTCGGATGGAGGCCATCGCTAGTAGGTTGGAGGCCAACGCTAGGCCCTTGCAATTAGGTGTGTGCCAACGCTAGGATCATCCCATGGGTGTCCAGGCTAGACTACCCTACCCTGCGTAAACAGGTCTCCAGACAGTGTGTGCCTCGTTTTGTTTTGTTTTTGGGGGTCGGAGGCCACGTGGCCGCTTTCTTCGGGACTCCGCCGGGCCACGGAGTCGTTCCAGGAAGGCCTCCAGGAGCCGATTGCTGGCCGAGCGGGGCTCCGAGACCTGACCCGCGTCAGCGGCGGCAGCGCCAGGAGCAGAAGAGGAGGACACGGGGCTCGAGCGCCAGGGGACCTATGTCCAAAGAAAAACCTTTAAATCATCTATAGCAATCCTGCTTTTTGTCCAAGCCTGTGCGCCCCAAAACAGAGTCTGAACCTGCTCTGTTTTTGCCAGGTGTTTATTTCCATCCATGGACGGTACGACCGCCCGACCGCTTGGTGACCACTTACCAGTTGTTGGCACGCCAGTCATCCTGCATCCAGAGCGCCAGTTTGATCGGCATCGACTCGTAAAGAAAGCCATCTTGATGTTGAGCATCATAGCTATCCTGACAGGCTCACAGGAACTAGGTGGCTACCACCGCGCTGTTGTTTCATGGTTTTGCATGGGGGTTGGGCATTCTGCTCGTTTCCATCCGTTAGCTTCATCGCTTCCAGGACTCTTTCAGCCAAGGATCCAAGATCCCCGCCTGTCCGTGTCCGCCCCAGTTCTTCTGGAGCTCAAAGTACCCCAGCGGCGTGCGCGGCGCCGGCGCGGTCACCAGCCTCAGTGACCGCGACCGAGGAGGAAAAACGGGCGAACGGGCGGACGGAACGGGCACGACTACGCGTGGCAAGTTAGTTGGTTGGGGGAGAAGATGTTAAAAGGATCATTTTTGGAGTTATTTTGTCCAGTCAGATGTGTCGAGGTGAATCCTTGCTCTTTGTGCTAAGCTAAATTGACAAGCGAGAAAAATTAGCGGGCTGACAAGGCTAGCTGGAGTCTCCGGGTGTGTGGAATGTCAACATTATGACATTCGAGAAAAAACTGCAACATGCCTCAGCTCATGAAAGTACTTCCAAGTCTGCGACGCTGAACAAGCTCTCATCCTTTTCCGTCCCCTTCGCGCTCATGACTGGGGAGAAAATGGCCTCCCGATCGGCCTCCTCCAGAGACCCATAAAACCTCAGAGACGACAATTAGAGCAGTGAAACCAAAAACGCCATCTGAAATGCCCTCTCTGGACACTCCAGGGCTGGACCGAATGCGGAGCATCAGAATGCGGTGCCCGCAAGGCCCTTGTCAGCATAAGACTCCGTTCTGGCCTTCTTGGCCGCTGGCATGTTTCCACCCTCTCGGTCTGCAAACCGAAGAGCCAAACCATCGCAGTTGATGCCCGTCATGGCCTCTCCCAAGTCTTCTGAGACTTCGGCGATCACCTGAGGATCCTTGAAGTGGGTCACTGCTTTCACGATGGCACGAGCTCTCTTCGCGGGATCCGACGACTTGAAGATGCCACTGCCCACGAAAACGCCATCCACCCCCAGCTGCATGCACAACGCGGCATCGGCCGGAGTGGCCACACCACCCGCCGCAAAGTTCACCACTGGAAGCTTCCCGGTCTTCTTCACTTGTTGCAGCAAATCAATTGGAGCTCCAATCTGCTTGGCATAGGTGAAAAGCTCATCATCATCCATCATCTGCACTATTCGCATCTCCTTGTGCAGGGTTCGGATGTGTCGGACTGCTTCCACCACATCACCTCGGTAGTACTGGGCTGCTGGTAGTACTTGGCTGCTGGAGAGGTAGGGCGAGCAAGCAAGACATGTCATCAATGTGAGACCTGGTTTTGTTCATCATCCCGACCCAAATCTGAATACTGTACTGTACATTTTTGTTGGGTACAGTTCCTATACCTCCTGATCCAGCGGTGTGTTCATGTGTTTTTTTCTGTGTTTCGGTTTCAGGTGACCTGTGCCGGCTTCACCTTTGGTCCGGATCATGCTGGCGCCCTCGGCGATGCGGCGCAGGGCCTCACCCAGGTTCCGGCAGCCACACACGAAGGGCACCTGGACACCGTCTCCGAGGCGACGCACGCGGTGACACCTTCTCGGGGGGAGGTCATTACTGGCGTTCCGTCCTCGCTCCGTTCGTGGTGCGATGCCCTTTGGTTACGTTCGTTTCCTCCGATCGCTCCACTCGGACGGCCCGGAGCTACGGGAGCGGTAGCGTCCGATCGGCTCCTAGTATAACGTAGTACCGACCCAAAGAACTGGCTGGAAGAGATGGTGGTACCGACCCAGCATCTCGTTCACTGCACAGGTCCCGTGTGCTTTTGTGATCTGCCAAAGCAGAGCGGTCTCCGCCATCCTCTCCGCGCGGTGCGGTCGGGTCTCCGCACCTTGAACTTGGTCTTGTTCACGTGGTTGTCCTCGTCCGCCACGGTGAGCACTTCGCTCTCATCGATGCAGTCCACGCCGATCTGCTGGAGGATCTGAGACTCCACGAAGTGTCCAATGCGGCACTTGGCCATGACGGGAATGGACACCGAGTTTACAATCTCCTGGAAAGGGGTGACTCCGAATCACCGCAAAATTCGGAAAGCTGCACCACACTTGTCAGAAGCATTTCGTGAAACTTCACCACTTGCAGCCTTTTCATGAACTCCTGTAGAACCTTGATGATTTTGTGTGTGTGTGTTGTTTTTTGTTTTTAGTGATCAAAATTCCGCATTACTGATCAGGCCACCCTCCTTGATCATCTTGGGATCCGACATGCGGGCCACTCCCTTGCTCTGACGGATGTCCGCAGGGATACGCTCCAGAGCCATCACGGCGCAGGCACCGGCCTCCTCCGCGATCTTGGCTTGCTCCTGAAAATGCTCCGACAAGGTACGCATTTATACGAGCATGTCGCTAAGGGCCGTTGGTGACCTCAAACCAGGATTTAGCCAGGACTTAGCGAGTCCAAACCCTGCCCTGGGTTCTCTGGTTTCACCCTTTTCTTTTGGCCTGGTGGAGCTGGGAGCTTCCCCCACGTTTCAAATATTGTTGTTGCGCAATCCCAATGAGCATTGGTCTCGGTGAGGAGAAACTTGATACATCTTGATACCTTTGATGATCAGGACCATGGAGCTTCACCACCAAAAATGGCCATCGCTTCCGACCCAAACCCATACTCTCCCAGCTTTCATCTGAACACCCTTGCTTCGTCTCACCCTGTCCTTGTTCATCACATCCATGATTACACCTCCCTTCAGCATAGCGGGCAATCCCTTTTTCACACGTTTAGTGCCCTCGGCCACGGTGCGAGGTGCCTCTGCCATGCTTCCGGGCCGCTGGCGTTCGATGGATGGCTTCGTGATCCAGAATGGCTAGAAGAAAACACCGGCAACTGTCGCCAGGCTCCTTGCTTTTTGGCTCCACAAGCGGGACACAAAACAATTCAATGAGATTTGATAGGACTGATACGATCACGCAAATACCCTTTTCCAAGACGATTATGGACCCTGAAATAGAACCCGAGAGGAGTTTGGGACGTAGCCGGCCAAGGAGTCTTGTAGATCGTAGGCAGTTCACATCAGTTCACAGGTGGCCTCTGGAATCAAAACAAGCCCTCTAAGAGATTTCACACGTTTTTTGCTCCTCAGTGGTCCACCTCAGCTGATCCAAAAAGTTCAACAAGGTCACCTTCCTATCCACGGACTCCCCAAACCCTTCGCGAAAAAAAAGAAGCGGACGCCTCCCTGTGACCTCCATGCTTTGACCTCCAGGTGACTGCCACACATCCTCGGTCACATACGGCCGAAAGAGAATCGTCGCCAGAATCGACTGCATCTGCTGAGAGCTCCTCGAGACAACACGGCGGCGGCGGCGCTCGCCGCGTCGCGGCGCGTCAAACCCACCGGCACCCGTGTTTGACGCGGAACACCCGAGAAGCGATCATCTTGTTTTTAATCCGAATATCTAAAACATAAAGAGGTCGATATAATTATTGAGGTAATACTAATAGATACAGCAATTGATGTCATATATCTTAAGAGAATGGGCTGAGAATGAACCGTAATATACCATAAATATGTAGTTTTATAATAGACCATGTAGCTAAAAGTAATGGTATTGAAGTTGAGGATTCACAATGTATACTTCTGGTAACCATACAATAAGAGGTGACAACATTCTATTTATTCCAAACAAGACTTGGAAACAATAAGGAGAGATCCAACAAGGCACAGCGATGCAAGAAGTGCACTGGAATGTATGTTTGAAGTGGGGCAACTCTTCAAGCTATCGCTTCTTGCTTCCATCAATCTGTTTAAAGCCTGCTGTACATGCCTGAACCATGCGTGCATACACCTGACATGTATCACCTTTCCAAGATGCTCAAAAAAAATATGAGAGCGCCACCCATAAATTCTAGGCGTTGCTTCTGAAAAGCTGTGTGTGGACAAGTACGGCCATTACTGGGATCTTGCTTGCGCAAGCCGTCATCTCCCACCCGTCTCCTGAGCGTCTGTAAGAGGTCCAAGAAAATGGGCCAGCTAATCTCCTGGAGATGAGAAGAGTGCATAATTCATCAATGACAGCAGTCCATGGCATGGACTGGATGCATCATCTCTGTTGACGCCGACCTTGTCTAGACCTGAACCCGAACTGGGACACCGACCCTGTCTACACTTCAACAAGAAAGGCATCTTTTGGGCGACAATGGGCGACACAAGTTCCTCACAGTTATGCAACGAGACATGTTTCTTTCATCCAAAAGGAAAAGGTCATACCGTCATATGACCACCGGCCCTGCGGGCGCCACCGGCCCTGCGGGCCTGGACCCCAAAAAAAGATTCGCCCCCCCGTGCTTCGCAATCGAAAGGAAGACGAAACATGATCCAAGCAGGTCCGACTGAGCTTCGTCTTCCTAAGCAACCGCGCGGGCTCCATGCGGCTCGTCTCCTGCGAGAGCCGGGCCTTTTCGACCTGCTGCAGCTTCAAAACAGAGCCCAAGAGCACCGGCAACAAAGCAAAGCGCAGCAGCCGCTCCTGGCCGAGAACGCCCAGCAAAGGAGATCCCTTGAAAAAACAGCAGTCGAGCGGAGCCTCGTTGGTAGGGCCAGCTAAGTCCAGACCCCGACCGGTTGCAACCCATCTACATAAAGGTACCTCCGATTTGGACAGTCGGGACCCAGTAAGGGAGCGAACCCATCGAAGGTCGTGTCCGGGTTCCGAAAGACTTCGTTGATCACCCAGCCCAAACTCACAGAACCTCTTGGGAACACCGAAGGAACACCGTAGGTTCCCCAGACACCAGACACGCTCTCCCCGGGCGCTCACCGGAACCCACCGGTGCGAAGGCCTGTAGAACGGCCGACAGCTCGCGCACTTCCTGTAGAACGGCCGATCTGCTTGGGGGTGGCCATCTTCCCGGTGAGTCAGCAAGGAGTCGGATTCCATGGTGTGGAGGGACCAGCCTTCTTGCATACTGAACTCTTGGTGACCCCGGAATATAGAAGAACATATCACATATCCTGAGACCTCATCATGTTCAGAAAAATGGACTGAGCTTTGTTTTTCTGGTCTGCTTTGGTGAGAGATCCGATGTACCACCACAAAGACTCTTCCCATAGCATCTAGCCAAAGAAAACACCACACCCTCTCTGGGTGGAGTTGGGCCCATCCTCATGCGGACTGGCTTCTATGAAAGGGTTTCCATTGGAGCATGAAAGGATGCGAGGCTCCAGCATAGGAAAAGATCAGCACTGCAGGTGAGCCGGGAGCCAAATCGACTGCTGGAAGTCTTTTCTGGTCAGGATATCTCGGGTCATTGGGTCATTCCCTGACTGGTTCCCGTACTTGTCACTAGTCAGCTTTACAACTCCATCTGGGCCGGTGGCTGGTGGCTCTCCGCGCAGAAACTCGGCATCCCATCCACAGACCCTCCCGAGCTTTCTGAGAACGGCGCGCAAGTAAAGACATCGGACACGTACATGAGGATGTCGTTCTGCAGGCGCATCAGCTCCTTCTCCTTCTTTCGATCGGTCCCGTTCGCCTCCTCTGCTCTGCCTAGGCAAGGATGGCAGCCGCTTGTTCCTGAAACCTCAAAGCTGATTTAAAGATCTTAAACATCCAAACAACAAAAGGAGCTCATGCATTCGCTCGCCATTCCACCAATACTTTTGTTCCCAGGTGCGCCAGTAGTGCCGAAGCAAGCAGCACACATGTGTGAAGAGGATCTTGGAATCCGCCACCACCAGACCAAACAAGGAATCGCTCCAGGAGTCTGCACTCTTCCTTGACCCAGGTGCGCCAGGTGTCTGCACTCTTCCGAAGCCATCGGCGTCGAGCCCCGAAACCCCAGTCCCAGTCCCCCGAAGAAACCCGGTCGGCTCAAAACGCTCGGCGACCCAGAATCTTCCAATGACTCATGAAATACCCCCAGCGCAGTAAGATGAGTGACTGGACGTCTAGATCTTCCAGGGTGACTTTTGGGACCTTTGGGGTTCCTCTTGCAACTTCGATCGTGCTTGGGAACCAAAAAGCTGCGACTTCGAGGAGATGACCTACGGCTGTGTGAAGCGTCAAAAAAAAGGAAGCCTAGTCAGGAAGATTGGATTCCCTCCTTCCTTTACCCATCCTTGAGACCAGGCATCAACTTTGTAAAGATCTCTAAGGAGGTGGCTTGAACTTGCGTTCGCACCTGGCGGGCACCGGGGTTTACGCGCCAAGTTTTCAGCTGAGTGTTCCAAAGGGTCCAAATGGGTTGAGGGGCTCCATCATCCAAAGATGAGTGAGGGGCTCCATCCTCCAGATTTTGGTCCGGGGAGTCTTGGGAAGTTCCCGAAATACATCGTGAGACCACCCAAAGAGGTGAGACGGTGCTGCTCGAAGAGGCCTAAAAATCGTGGCACGAAGACCTGACTGCTTCCCCTTCCAGCTATCTGCGCAAACGTCGTAGCACGAATAGAATAGGACGTTCACGGCCCATGACGGCCCATGTCCCGCGGCCGTTCAGTGCCTGCGCCACCGGATGGTGGTAAAAGCGCGCGCTCTGGGAGAAGATGGGGAAGGGCCAGTTGGAGGTGGGATCGAAGAAGAGCATCATATTCTCCTGGCCGAAAACAGGCACCGAATGCCGTCGTAGCAACGTCTGCTCAACTCAGTCGACTCCCAGCTCCCGTGTTCGACCCCTTAGCAACAGGATGGACCTTGCCATCAAACGAACCAAGTGCAAGCCGGCGGAGGTACAAGAACATCATCTGCACCGTGGTTGCTTCCATCTGTGCTTAAGGAAGGATGCAGTACGTGTTGGAAAATGTCGACTATAGTGGTTCTAACCTGGACAATCTGCCTCCGTGCAGGCAAGCTACCCCATCCATCATGAGAGCGATGTCTTTGACTACTGTCATCCAGAGGTGGAGTAAGTCTTCGTTCTTGCCTCAGGTATTGAGCTCAGACCATTTCGGGAGCTTCCCTAAAGCTGAGAGTTGCACTGTACGGCTGTCAATTAAACCTTGATTTGCGAAGTCCATATACTACAATGGGAAACTGAACTGAAGGGCCTAGCGAGCAAAGGCTCATCCACTGTCTCCTATTTGAAGCAATAGAATGATCTGTCCAAACAGCTTGGTTGTATAGAAGCTTGCCGGCCACCTTCAATATGCAATGTGTGGAAACGTCGCAGTCCATCGCTGCAGTCCATCGTCGCAGTCGTAGCAGTGACCAGTCCGATCCCCCGACGGTGAGTAGACATTTTCTCTAAAAGGTGACCACGATTCCCACACTCTGACTTAACATGGAAGTGGAGTGGTGGAGTGGTGGAGTGAGTTCACCACCGGTGTTCGGATAATAATTGGTCATCCATCCTTTTCGGGGCCCTTGGCCACCTGCATTGGCTACGTCGACGTGTTCGGCTGAAATCGCTGAGAAGCTGAAATCGTAGTCGGCCGTCACAACGTGGTTCCTGAGGGCTAGGGGACGAGGAAAGCGGCGAACGAGATGATACAACCAACTATGAAACACACCGAAGAAAGGCGAAATCCATAGCCGCACGACCAAAAAAAGACGTATCCGACCATTTTGCTACATACAAAGTGACAGCAAAACGTTTCGAGTTCAATATTGCTGCAGACTCGCAGCAAATACCAGCCAGCTGTGAGATTGCAGAAAAGTATTGACTCCTCAGCTGCACTGAATATCTCTTGGCTTCAGCCAGCTACGGCACTCATCTCTCAAGTTGGTATCACATTCATGAAATGACACGAAACACGCATGATTCGTCTGATCCCTGCAATTCAGACTTGCCAAAATAGATCCGCTGTTCACGTTTTCTTCACAAAACCTTTGCCCTTGCCGTTACGCTTCGAAAACGCCACCCTGGCCCCCCTCCGCCCGTATCCGCTGTCGACACTTCCCTTCCCGTTCGGCTGTCTACACTTCGCACGGTTCCTTCGGCGTCGACTGCAGGAGGATGTGAATCGTCTGCAGGACCTGTGCCTTGTGGCCGATGGAGGGTGGGCATGGCACTGGAACCAGGAGAGGCACGGCACGAGACGTTTTCTCGCAAAAGGGCACGAGACGGATCTTTTTTCGCAAAAGGGCATGACGGATCTTTTCTCTCTCTCCCCGGGGACGACGTGTCGCTCGGTCACTGGCTGCAAAAATCTGAAAATGCTGCACTGGTCGGGCTCACATGGTGGGTCCACGACCCCCCTGATGAAAAAAAGCCTACGTCCCAGGTCCCAGACCATCGACCTACCCCACCATCTCCGACTATCGGCTCGACCGGCTCGACCGACATGCTCCCTGAGCTGGAAGAAGCCATAGGCCAAGACGAAGACTGAGAGAACTCCCTCGTTCATCATCCGCTCTTCTTCAGTTCATCTTCATCTTCATGGCGGTCACCCAAGTGACATTCATTTTTGTGTTCTTCCAAGTGTTCTGTTCTTCGTCCCCGTTGAATGCCCCAAAAACATAAGAACAAAAAAACGCCTCCCGACCTACTACTCTCTGCCCGCTCTACCCTCGCTGGACGCTGTTCCCCACCTGGAGGCGAACATTGCCCGTCAGCAGCAGCTCGCCTGAGCTCGGCGAGCGAAGCGCCTCCGTTCGTCGTAAGGCCAGGAGACAGAGTCGATCTTCAGGCAGCGAGAGTAGTCTCATTCTCGGCGTTCGCAAGCTGTGAGATGAGCCACCCCCCAACAAAAACGAACTCGGCCCACACACCACCAATCCCAGCCAGGCAGTTTTAGCAACCACGATGTAAACCATGCATTTGAACTTAAAAACTTGAAAGGGGCAAACCCATCCATCATAGTCGAACAAGACCCTTCTTCAGCAAATTTCAAGTGATTGGTCATGTATGTCCACAAACTGTTTCAGACTCCTTTGGGTCAACTCAGGTGAGGTCGCACATTCGCTCAACATATCAGTTTGAAACCTCCAAATGGATGCCTTGTTCTTTGTGTCTTCAACCTAGTTCTTGAGAAGATCGTCAATCCAAACCACTGCAGGCCAACAGGCCGACCCCCCCCACTGCCGGTGGAAGGCACGGAAGCGCTCGGACACGCGCCGGTCGATGAAGGGCTGCGCGAACTCTTCCCCGCGGGCGCCCCGCTGGGAGGAGTACCTGGCCATGGCGAGGGGGGAGAGGGCTTCATGTCTCCAGCTGAGGGGCGGGGGACTCTTTTCCGGCTGGGTCGGTCTGTTCTTCTAGCTGAGTGATGCAATCATTTGCTCAAGTCTGTTCTCGGCCTCGTTAGACCAACTCTGTGGGTACCTCTCAATTTGGAAGAGCTTCTGACTAGTACTCCGAATCTCCTTGCTGGGGGGATTGCGGCTGGACCCTCGACAGCCCCAACTCCTTTTCTTCGGTGGCTGGGGCACGAGCAAGCCACACAGCTACCAATCTTCTGAACCAAATCTACCTCAGACGCGCTCAAACGCACCGGTGTCGGGAACGGCAAAATCACTGTCACTGGGCTTCCACTATGAACATCGCTTGAAAATCTTGACACCCCTCAAGCCCCACAAGCTGCAGGCCCCCCAAGACCCGCGCTTTCGTGCCTTGAGTCAAGTGCACCCATGAGCATCTTTCGGCAGGTACTCAGTGACCCAAACCAGTTGAAAATGGTATGATTGATGGATATATGATATATCTGTATACCTGTTAAGAGTCGAAAATGGTTCAAGTTACCCTGAACACCATAGCTGTGAAGCCACAAAGAAACTGCAACATGCATAATTTACGTCAGTTTACAATTGTCCATGGGGTCATCTGTGTATCTCCAACACTATGTCACTATGGGTGGAAAAAATCATGAAACCACTTCCCACAGAGTCCATCATTTGACTCTTTCTGCATATCCACATGTCGACTTCTCATCCCCCCCAAGTGCTTCCACCCCTTGTGACCCACCTAATGGCCATCCCAGCTGCAGCCTGAGAGATCCCCTCCTCACTGAGCACGCGGCGCCGTCCGAGCTCCTCGGAGCTCCGAAGGCTGGACGGAACGGTCACAAAGCCACGTGTCCCACGTGGGAGACTGCTTTTGATGCACAGAGAATGGCTTACACAGAAGCCATTGAAGACACATGCAGTGAAGGAACTGGGGCTTTCTGGAGATCCCCCAGGACTCCCCATGCGAACTGGGCGGCGCGGTATGACGGGCACGACCGCACGCAGCAAGGTCCCACCTGGCCCAACTTGTTGATTTGGATGCACATGTCATCCATATCTTTCAGCGAGTCGTCCATGGGCCGGAAGTAAGCCATTTGGACAGAGATGTTCAAAAAAATGGCGTGCGTCAACAGGCGTAAGCCAACAGACTGGGGCGTAAGCCGTCAAAGCATTGCATTCAATTCATGAAAGTGAGTCACTTTGTGTGTAGAAAATCGAGGTAGAACATGGAGGGACACCAGGGCCCCACTTGCTAGGTCTGCTAGGTGGGCCCTCCGCCACTGAATGTTTTATCGGTCTTGAAGTATTGAAGTTAGAAAGCAATAAAAGAGTAGTCTAGTCGCTTTTCAAAACTGTCAGTCTTGGAGAAGTCCTCTGTTTTCCAGTTCCCTCTGATTGCTGAGGAAAGCTATTTTCCCTTCTGAGCACCGAAAGTTCTGAGCACCTTTGGCCCCAAGCAGCTGAACGACCGAGTTCGGGTAAATGGGCCGCGCAGCGGCGGCGGTCGAGCGTTCGTTGGCGGTGGACCGGTTCCAAGCCGATAAATCGCTTCGGTTAAAGACAGATTCATCGAAAGCACATCTATTTTGGCAGTCAAGACACAATTCCTGTATCCCCCACAGAGGGAATCCAGGTTGCGAAACCTGACTTGCTCGCTGAAAGGGTGACCCTGAACCGCCCACAACGTTTTATCGGTAACAGAAAGCTCATAGAATCCTCTACCAAATAAGTCGATCTACCAAGTTTGGAGGGTTTTTTGTTTGGCCTCGGTTTTCACCCACAAACCTCACTAAACGACAGTTCACAAAGGATGTCTTACCGTTTCCAGGAGATCGATTGGCAATTTCCATTGGCAAAACGACGCCTTACTTTCTCGGTGATGCCTTACCCTCTTGGAGATGCCTTACCCTTTTGATCCAAGAAAGCAATCAAGCTTCGTCCCCAACATCCCACCGTCTTCGTCCCCCAACCGGACCAATCGGCCTGGAGCTCCAACCTCAACTGGGCTTCAGTTTGATCCAGCCGCTCTTCAGCCTGGTGTCACTTACGTCACTTACGTCCAAGCCGACCGAACTCAGAGGGCCTGTTGACTGCAACCCAGACTGGCCCATGTCACTAAGTCGACTCTCTGGACCCACGGGGGTGGACCTCTCTCTCCCCCCCCCGCCGGATCGCCGGTTAAAGCCGCCGCCTTCAAAGCCCGGGCTTCGGCCACCTGCTGTGTGAAGAACGTGGTGTCGGGAGACCCCAAAGTGAAACCACATTCGCTCAGGAAACACCGAAACGAAGGATCAGGAATCGGGAAGAGCCAGAAAAACCGTCTTGGCAGTCATGTTTCTTTTCAGCTTTTGGAGAACCCTCCCTGCGGGACCTCCAGCATTGGTGACAGCTCACTGATTCTTAGGTGACTGATCAGGGAGTGAGCAAACCCGAGTGTACCCAACGACACTTTTGATGGCCCCCACATCGGTGTTTCTTTGGGCTAACGACACGCTTGTATGAAACACAACACATCTCAATTGCCTTTCAATCAGGGAGTGTGTCCCATCCTTGTATTGAACTAGAGAGGCTGTACAGGCTTTGACTATTGGTCTGATAAATTGACAACGCTGGTATGAACATCCCCGCCCGCCTCAAACACATGCAAGATACAAAATTTGAGGCAATCAGCATCTACTGTAATTTTCTCACATTCACCAGAGCCAATATTCACTGTCACTTAATGTCAAGTCCAAGTTGTATGAGGTGCATATCTCAAGCAATACAAGCCTGCACAAAAGAACAAGCTCACCTGCTGTAATGGTTCTGTCTCTGGTGGCTGGTCAAGCTATGAAAAACAATTCTTTCATAACTGAGTAATGTACATGTCACGGTTCCTGCGTGCGCTGGTCAACAAACACACGGGAATTGGAACAGCAAGTGTCAACCAGGTACACTCCACAGCACCCTCTTCAACTCTTAGAAGAGTTATCTATGAGTCTTGAGTAATACGACTACTTGAGTAGTGATTACTGATTACGGTTGATTCAACTGATTTGAGATTGAACACACGCCAAGTTGCACTTGCGTACATATTTCAGGTTCTCTGGAGCTCTGCTGCAGTTGGAGTCAGCTGCAATCAGCCGGTTGACAGGCTGAAGGTTTCGAAACAGGGCCAGTGCCATGAAATCTTCAACCTACTCACTGGTAGTATGGTAGTTGTTCGTTTGGTTTGGACTTTTGGACAATTTAGTTGACCTTGATAAATACTAATTGTTTTCACCCTGGTGTTTGTGGTCTCCCAACAACCGGCACCAGTTGACCTCAGAGGTAGTCCCTTCTGTCTAGTGGTCACCCAGGAGTTCAGGGCTCTGACCCATACTTTGGTGTTGCCACTTCAGCCTCGGAGGACGTGTGTAGTATCTCCATCTGCTCGTTGAGAAGGGCCACGTCCTCTCACAGTCTTAAGCTATTTTCACTCTGCAGAAAGAAAACATGCAGCTTCATACCACCACAACATAGAAAAGGGCAGTTTTTCTCCAAAAACCATATACTCTCTTTTGATTGAGTGGACAAAGAGCGGACCCCCAGCAAATGGGTGTTGTATGTCATGTACATCCCTTGCGGTCAGCATTTTGTTCCACACAAGCAGCAGTCGTGGTGGTGTTGGTGGCTCTCGTCTAGCAGTAGTAGTGGTGGTGGTGGTCGTAGTAGCAGTAGTATTAGTAGTAGTAGTAGTAGAAGTAGCCGTAGTAGTAGTAGTAGTAGTAGTAGTAGTAGTAGTGGTAGTGGTAGTGGTAGTGGTAGTGGTAGTAGTAGTCGTAGTAGTCGTAGTAGTAGTAGTAGTAGTAGTAGTAGCAATAGTAGTACACGCGCCACTACTAGGAGCAGCAGCGGTAGCAGTAGTAGCAGTAGCAGTAGCAGTAGCAGTAGCAGTAGCAGTAGCAGTAGTAGTAGTAGTAGTAGATGTAGTAGATGTAGTAGATGTAATAGATGTAGTAGATGTGGTAGATGTAGTGGATGTAGTGGATGTAGTAGATGTAGTAGATGTAGTAGATGTAGTAGTAGTAGTAGTAGTAGTAGTAGTAGTAGGAATAGCAGCAGCAGCAGCAGCAGTGGCAGTCGCAGTAGCAGCAGTAGCAGTAGCAGTAGCATTAGCAGTAGCAGTAGCAGTAGGAGTAGTAGTAGTCGTCGTAGTCGTAGTGGTAGGTAGTAGTAGCAGCAGCAGCAGCAGCAGTAGTAGTAGTAGTAGAAGCAGTAGTAGTAGTAGCAGGAGTAGTAGTAGTAGTAGTAGTAGTGGTTGTAGTAGTAGAAGTAGTGGAAATGGTAGTAGTAGTAGTAGTCGCAGAAGCAGTAGGACCAGGAGTACCTAGTAGCACTAGTACTAGTAGAAGTGGCGGTGGATGTTTAATCAAGACAGGGGGCTGTGAGGGCGCAGTTTTTCTTGGCTTCTGCATATAAACTTTCCATTGTTGTCTGCCTTCACGCCATGTGCATATGAAAGCTAACTCAATGTCATTTGCGATGAGAAAGCCAAAAAGCAACCAACACCTTGAGATAACCAAAAACAGCGAAATCCTTGAACAAAAAACAGCCAAAACCTTGAGAAAACAAAAAGTTTTCCAAAAAAACAAAACAAGAAACAAAGCACTCTGGAGGTCTTTGCCATGCCTTACGTTCTCTGCAAAAGAATGCTGGAGAACTGGTTCTTTGATTTTTGTTGTTTTTGTTGTTTGTTTGGTGCTTTCTCCACGCTTTTGGTCTGGTCCTGATTAGTCGCATTCTACTTGATGACTCCGGCAATAAGTTCTAGCCTTCTTGTCCCCAGCTTGAGAGGCCTGAGTATTGTTCCATTGTTTTTTGTTGAATGGCATTGAAATTTAATTTCGGAATTAACTAAATTTTAGAATAGATCTACGTTAATCATAATTTAGTTCTAACCTAATTCTCTTTCAGTTCCAATTTACCTCCAATTTCAAATCTACCTTTCATTTTTATTTTTGGTTTAATTCAAGTTCAGGTCATCCAAGTCTAGTTTACTTGCTTTACAACTTTAATCTATTTCTATTTTAAGCAAAAATTCATTGAATATATTCTAACTTCTTCTTGTTCAATTCTAATTTCAGTCTAATTAGACTCTAAGTTAGTTCTAGTTTGAGTCCAATTGAACTCAACAAATTGAATTTTCAATTTAGACTTAAACTAGCCCGAGTCAGACCTTAATTCTAATACAACTCTAATTTATAAAGTTTGTTTTTGTTCAATGTTAATCTCACTCTAATTTGAGTAGATGTTTCTAGTTTAGTTCTACATTAATGCCGGCACCATTTGATTTTAACTGAATGCCTGTAAAATTGAAACTTATTTCTTGTTTGAATCGAATGTTTACTACAATATTGCTTCAATGTACTTGAATGTTTCAAATTTAGTTCCATATCAATTTTTAGACAATTCAAAAATTGTTGTGTTACAATTCAAAAACAATTCTGAGTTGTTTCTGGTTCAAAGCAAACTGAATTCAAATTCAATCTTGAACTCAATTGAAACCCACAGCAAATTTAACTATTATTCAGCTCTGCGTTACTTCTATTCTAATTCTTAAACAACGCAATGTTAATTCTGGAAAGGGTATTTTGCTCTTAAACTGGTAGCTTTAATGTGAAGTTTTTGGATTACAACTAGAACAAAATGTAATAAAGAATGAATGAAGATAGAAGCAAATTAGAAATATGTAGATTGGAATGAGTATAGAACTAAGTTGAATTGTAACACAATAAAGTGTGATTTGTATAAAGAACCAGTTGAAGTTTGCTTCAAAAAACAAGTTACAATTAAACTAGAACAAGAAAATAGATTAAGAAACAAAGTACAATAACAATTGAATAATAATAGAACCTTCCATGGGCTGCCCTTGAGTTAAAACCAAAGCATCTTTACCGTCAAGTCAGTGAAGAGTTCAAAACTTGAGCAACAAATGACGTCAAGAAGACTGCACTCTCACAGTCCCCCGCAATCCAAACTATATTGTAGACAAAAGGTACATGGTAGTCCAGTTGAAAGCAGATAATCGAAATATAAAATAATTGAAATGTGATTGTTGTCGTTGTTGTTGTTGCTGTTGTTGTTGCTGGTGGTGTTGCTGGTGGTGTTGTTGTTGTTGGTGGTGGTGGTGTTGGTGTTGGTGTTGTTGCTGCTGTTGTTGGTGGTGTTGGTGTTGTTGTTGTTGTCGTAGTGGTGGAACGATGTTGTCAAAGTCGTTGTTTTGCTGAAAACTCAAAGTTCCAGATTTCACAACATTGCACCAAAAGAGATATTCTACAGTTGCTCTCCCAATGCCCCATTGTCAACATTGCGTCCTGGGTCCTAGTATTCGTACTCATCCTAGTTAGCAGCTATCGCCTAGTTAGTACGCGTACCGCATCGCACTGTAGCCCTGCACTCTGGTGCTCCATCGCTCCCATCGCTCCCATCGCTCCTCCTCATTCAAGGACACCACCTCCTCGGACGTCCATCGGGCGGAGAAGCCCTCCCACCTGAGTCAGACCCGGATCGATCAGGGGCGGGACGGTGGGCATCGAGAGCTCGACATCGTATCACGGTCGGTGAGGTGAGGTGCCGAGGCCAACAATGGCCATGTCTTCTGCAGCAAAAGGTGGGGGACAGCCATCCATGTGCCATGTGTAGACTCTAGGGTCTATGAAGCCTATGGAAACATCACAGTCACCCTCATTGCAAAAAGGGCTACGATTGATGAAAAGGAATATCAATTGGAACCTGTGCCTTGGTTCCGTCGTGGTAGTGAAGCTTGCTGCACTATATCAACTGGTCATTTGGGAAAGAGTTTGTCACGTTCCACAGGAAAGCCTGAGAGTGCCGAACTAGAGAACCTCTAGATACCTCCTAGATACCTGGAACCTGCAGATACCTCCTAGAACCTGGTCTTTGAAACCTGCAGAGACCTCCTAGATACCTCCTAGTCGTCCCCCCCGCGGTCACAACGCGGTCCACAGACCGAGGAGACCACGAAACCCTCCGAGGTTCCCAGCCAAGTTCTCATTCTTCGGATCCAATCCAAGCTACTCAGCTCCTGGCATCGGCTTCTCCGTTCATCGGAGTTCAGCGGAGGGAACTCCGTCTCAAACCGCATGATCCGTTGCATCGAAAAAAAACCACCAAAGGGTGCGGAAAAAAGAGCACAGAACTTCTTCTTGGGCGCGTCTCTGCATCACTCTGCACCAAAAACCGTGGACATGTGGTACAGACCGCACGTCCAAGCTCTGGAATCTCTTCTCACGCCTGACCAGTGATCAGCTCATCTTTGCCTCAAGAAGTGAAACGCCTTTGGCAGAATTCACCCTGGGGGGCCCCAACAGGGCACCTTCTACCCCACTCATCTGCTCGACTTTCGCCTCTTCAAGTCCGAAAGGGACAAGGAGTGCTCTAGGAGTCGTGATATTTCACTCGCGGGGTCCTCCTGTTCAGCACTGCGAACGTCCAAAAGGTCGAGTCGTCTCGCGAGGTCCCCCTGGGCTGCTGACCTCCTGCGCTGGGCCAGGTAATGCGCAAACCACGATTTAGGGCTGACCTGGAAGGAGGAGAGGGTGAGAGTGGCACCTTCGATTCACCGGTCCATTCACCAAGCCCTTCTTTCTCCGATGGTGGAAAGGCTGTGGCATGATTGCAGTGTTTGTTTCTCCTGCGAGGTCCTTGCTTGAGCCATGCTTCGAGTCTCCAACGGTTGAAGAAGAAAATGTGGTCGAAACAAATGGTTGTGTGCCAGACCAGAACATATGATGGTGACACGACCATATCCAGCTCAAGATCTACGTGTATATATACTATGTGCAGATGACATGGGTACTTTCCAGCATCGACAGCAGCAGATGACATGGGTTTGCAGGATAGGTGAAAATGGTTAGAAACAAATGACATGGTCTAAAATCAATGTCCATTTTTTAGCTGGTTAAACTATGTCATGTCCTTCCGTACTCCCCCCCTCTCCAGCACTGGCTCACAATTGGCTAAATGTGCCAGATGGTAGATGACATAGGTACATTTTAGTTATCGCCGATGTTCATTTTTTCCCTGCAGTTGGGCAGATGACATGAGTTTGGGGGGTGCCTGCGGCAGTCGTTTATAGAGTCCTCATGTCACTGGAACATAGTATATACATATATTGTTCAATCTGTCACTCGAAAAAGCCTCACAAATGACAAATGGTTCAATAATGAATAATGATCCTCAGGCTAATGAGTCATTGGCAGCATGAGCAATAATCAATTGCCATCTGTCTACTCTCAACTTTACAGAGTAGACAAATGGCACAAACCCATGTATTGTTATCCTTTCTTTGCGTGTCTAAATAGCTTCATGGAGTTCCAATCCTACAAAGTACCTGCCTGCCAAACTAGAAGCAGAAACATGTCCTTCCAACGGTGGTGCAAGCATCTTTGGAATCAAGGCGCTACCCGCTCTGCTGCGGTTCAATCCTCTTCAGTCAAAGAGTGAGTGTTGCACTTGCTTCGCATCGTCACTCGCTGCTTCTGTCGTGCCCAGCAAGTTTAGGCTCACAGCAGTGAAGTCGTAGAGTGCCCTGCAACAGCAAAGATCCGGATTCGGAACCTTACAAAGCAGCTTGCTTGTTCTCAAGCGGATAAAATATACAGTACATCTACAGCAAGCAACATGGCTGCAGCCTTTCTTGGCTTTTTCTGTGCGCCCTTTCTCCGCATCGTTTACGAGCCTTCGCATGAGTAGCGCCCCCCTGCACTTGATGAAGCATGCTAAAAGGGAGGCAGCTCAAGGGTCATCATGAAAGTCTGGCAATCGGCCGTTCTTCATCTGGACCATCTGCCATTCTTCATGATCCACCATGACTTGCCACTGAAAAAACTGCCATACTTGGACCATCTCCCGGGCAGTCCAGTGAATCATCTGGTCCCTTCGCCGAACTGCTCTGGCCGTCCTCCGACAAAAACCTCCGTCTCCAGGAGGTGGGAAGTGACTAAGACGGAGCGGGTTTTGGCCTCCCAGATCCAAGCCATCCAGTTCTGTCACGAGCCCAAACCTCAAAAGGGTTTTCCAAAGGGCCAAAGGGCTCGCGTGACGTTTTTTTTTAGGCACCGTGAGGCACCCGACGTGTGCAGCCTTCGGAAAGGAAAGGTTGGTCCTAAAAGGTGCACCCTGACACACATGAGTGTCTCAAAACATCTTTTCCAAATGGTGTGTCCTGCACTCCCCAACACAAATGGCTTTTGTGCATGACAAAATGTCTTAGATCACTTCTAGCTTCTCGGTCACCAAATGACTAAAAGGGAAGATAGCGGTTTTGAAGCTTCATCAATCCACTTCACCGTTCACGTCCGCCTTCGGCGCTTTGGCACAGCCGCCCCTAGGAGGATGCCAACGACCTTGACGCGTTGGCATCCGAACGGCGTTCGTTCCCCAGGGACCAGTGTCTGGGTGGTTCGCGCCTCCCAGTGCCTCCCTGTGCCTCCCCCGTTCGTAAAAATGAAATTGGTGTGCTTCAACTACTCATTGACCCTTTGGTGCCTCGTGCTGATTCTAGTGAACGCCATGGGTTTGGAAAACCGCATGCTGGCACTATGCGAGGTAATACTCCCCAGGTCGCAACCAAGAGCGTGCTCTTTGATTTCCCAACAGCCATAGTTTGACATGCACCCAAGAGCCTCGCAGGTGGCCCGTTTCACCTCTCCAACACCGGAGAAACGGATGGCTCGCCGGATGGCTCGTGCTCCAACAACCCAACGTGCTGGCCGACAAGAAAAGCAAAGAAAGCCCTTTTCTGCGAAGAGGAACGAAGAGGACGAAGAAAATCTAAGGGGGCGTGTCCAGCGGAACATCAAGGGAGCAAAAGCAGATTCTCATGACGTTTCCAGGTGATGTTGACTGGGGCACAAACAGGTGACGAGTGACGAGTGAAAGTTGATGCCTGAAAGAGCCATCGTTGTTTCCCCTTAAATAACGTGGTATTTTTTGGTCATGTCCGACGTCCTTTGCTTTTGTTATATACCGTCTTGTGACAATGTGTGCGTCGCATGTGATGAGGTACTTGTCTTGTTAGATGAAACACGCTGAATTCATCCAAGCAAACCCACAACTTTCAGCACAGAACTCGTGCTACAATGGAACCACGCTGCGCTAATCCCGAGGTCTGGAAAGAATTTCTACCGACACCCACAAGCGCAGGCAGGCAGATAAAGGCAGCCCATTCCAAAAACAAGCTTTCTGCCGCCACAACCACAATTAGCAAAACAAGTCAGAAGAAGCGATGTCTTTGAAAGATACTTGAAGTCGTTGTCAATCGGAACAAAGAAAATATTCTTAAAGGAACGAATGGCGCTTCGAACGTCAAACCATTTCGTCCACCACTCTGGACCCAAGCGACCCACTTCTGCTTCGCAGCAGCCGAAGTGATCGGCGTTCGTTGCAGCGCCACCGGCAGGGGCGTCCGAGACACAGAGTGTCGATTCGCCCAATGTCGCCGATGAACCTCCGGTGAGTATTTCGCAAAGGAGGTGACAAGGCTTCTGAAACCACAAAAAGATTGGGGGGGCCAAGCATGCAGTTGAACGGTTGCATGAAAATGGTTGAGAACAACGGCAGGATCAGTGGACATGTCAGAGATTCAAATCAAAATCTAAGATGTGCAAAAAAAGAATCAGACCTTACGCAAAGTCCTTGTTGAAAACCTGGCTGTCAGCCACACCGTAGACCGAGCCATTGATGGTCGGTATGTCATGTGAACTTCCATTCATGTCTGGGATGTAGTCTCAAGGCTGGGAGCTTGTTGAGCCTGGGATGCGTCGAACGGCATCGGCATCTTCTTCAAGTGCATTGACCTCTGCTAAGGATAAAAGAATTATATGTTATCTATGTTCTATATATATACATGCTTTTCCATGTTCATGTTTTTATAAACCCTCCAAAGCGTTGACAACGTTTGACACTTCCCCGTTGATACCCCATCCCTCTCGGACCCAACCTCTCCAGCGGCCGCAGGACGGACCTCGCAACGCCGCATCGATGGCGCATAGCACGGTCGAGCACGGGCGAGATGGCATTCGAGCACGGGCGAGATGTGCTGCAGGTGGCGTGAACATCGTGGATTTGGACACCTCCTACATCTGATGCACCTGTGAGACACCCATCTGATACACTTGATACATCTGCAAAGGTTCATGATCTGTACTGCTGCCTTTCAGGTCTTAATTCCACCTTCAATTGCAGACCCTCGAAATGTCACAAAGCGCGGACATGTCGTTGCACCGATGTGACACATCTCGCGGCAGATACATGGTTACGTGCCTTTTCTACTGGCCGTCTTCCACTTGAGTGAATTATTCTTGCGCATTTGAGCCAATATGAGGCGCAAGAGAAAGCAAACGTCCATGTACGGAGTTCGTCTGCAATTTTTCAACCGGAATGTGCTGGATGGTGGCACCAAACACAAGGAACGGAGCAACATGGCCTGGGTGAAACACACGAACTGAAGCGAGAAAGTTGGTCAAAACATTTTGGAGATCTGGTCTTGTCGCGACAAAGCATTCGTAAAGCCCTGCCCTGTGCAACATGTTTGACTGATTCTGTGGAACTGTGTATGTACAGTTGCTTGCAGTTGCGCTGCAGCTGCCAGCAGAAACAGCATCATCTTCAACAGCAAAAAACTCCACCCGACATGTTTCTTGTGATTTCTTTTCAGCGGAAGGTGGCCCCTCAGGCGCCCCACCGGACAAGTAGACCCGGCTAGACCAGATCAAAGGTCTGGAAAACATGGGGGGGGTAGACCCATCAGCCACAGGCCTGGGAAGGCATGGGAAGACATGTACTGGAAAAGGGAGACCCCCAAAGGGATTGATTCGTGGGGTTTCCCTTTTACCATTTCGTCCGGGAGGAGGAGCACCTTGGACAGCCTGTGCAAGGAAAGGAATCAGCTGCTGTCAACCTTTTCTGCATCATTTCCGCGCTGGGCAAATCAGAACCTCTTGGCACACGGCCATCCTGATAGGCCCCAAATCCTCAACATGGTTGACCACCAGATGTAGCTTAGGGCTTAGGCCATCGCGAAGCCATCATATCGTTCGTTTGATTGGTCAGAGCAGCATCCACAACATGATTCCAACTGTGACAATCCCATTCCCAGCAACAGCGCGCAGCCATGAGCCACACTTGTAATCATCTCTGAGGTAATTGCATAGTAAATAAGCGCTGATGCATTCAGCAACAAAAGGATGATTTCCGCCTTCGATACCACAGCCTGACTCTCTGGAGAAAGTTGGGTTTGCGATGAAGCACTTGCCAATTGGCATCTGGACTTCTGGATATACCAGCCCATGACAGCGCACCACACAATGGACACACCAGAACACCCAAGAAACAAACATAATACCACTTGGTAGAACATCACCGCAATGAACGAAATCAAAGGCTGAACAGTACGTTGGTTGGTGACTGACTGTGAGCCACAATTTGCAAAACGCCACGTCCAAGAGAAGGAGTGCGTAATTAATGCAAATATCTAGCGCGCATCCTCCGTATGTGAGGATGCACACAACTTTTGCCACCAAAGTGCCGGATCCGCAGTCGTCCATGGTCTGGTGGGTAGGGTTCAGGCACGTATTCAAAAACTGGATTGAACGGACCGTGGGATTTGCAGTCTATACTTGTCATCTTTGCAGTGTACATTGATGCGAACAATGCCATTTTTTTCACTGGGGCATGGCATGACTATGCTGGCGCGCTGTCAAGAAGCCAAACGGCATCAAATCTTTACATAGTAGTCTGCCCGGAGCAGTTCAACAGATCAAGAGTCAACTGCGGAGACACACCCGAAGGGCTGACATACGCTATGTTCTCTAACATGTAAAGAGCATCGAACATCCATGGCTGGTGGTTGCGATATACGGTTTGATGCTCCGCAGCACCCACCAACAGTTCCAAAAGCCACTTCCACCCCCCAAACCAAAATTGCAGCCAGGTTTCACAGAGTTATTTTTCATTCCTTGGTTCGTCAATTGCTTGCCACCATGTTCAAGGAAAAATATGTTGATTCCTATGTCGTTCGCTAAGTGCCCCGCGGAGAGTCATTTATGAAGTTCATTTGTCTGCACTGGCAGTATGCATCTGCACGTGTGCATTACGTCATAAACTTTCCAATGAAACAAACCCAATACCAGCATAAACCCCAAACAGTTTCAAAACAATTCGTTTGGACCAAAATTTGTCAAAAATGATTTCTTGGCACGCCCCACCTTCCGCCCCAAAGGAAACTGTTTCATCAATGATTTTTGTCAGCATCGACATCGCTAGAGAAAACAAAAGAAGAGCAGGACCAGAGAAAACAAAAGGAGGACAAGACCCGGTCACAGAACCCGGCCACAGAGCCCGCCCACAGAGTTCAGGGGCGCAGCCATTCAGTGTGGCCAGACCTGGTCAGCACGGCCAGAGGACAACAGCAGGACAAGAGAAACACAACAGCAGGACAAAAGAAGGACAAAAGGAGGACATGACCCGGCCACAGAGAAGGGCAACAGAGCTCAGGGGCGCGGCCAGTCAGTGTGGCCAGTTTTTCTTTCCAAGACAGAATCCCAAATCGAAGCAGCGGCCAATTTGGCAGCAGAGCCCAGTCCGGCAGTTGCAACATGTTTTGGTCGAGGGCAGAGGAGGAGACTGCGAACACTGCCCCCCCAAAAGAACCCCAACGGACAAATCACCTTTCCTTCTGTTGCCTTGCCTCTTCTTGCGACCAACCAATTGCCTGGACCCTTCAGCTCGTTCTCTGAGTTCCACGTGAAAAACCTTCTATCTGAGGTAGGTGGATCACAAAACGCCCTACACCCAAGACAGAGCACGCGCAACAACTCACAAGCAAAGCGAAAGCATTCACACGCTTTTCTCGCGCACCTTGAGCAAAAGTCAAGCGCAAGAAGCTGTGAGGTGTTCCCATTGTGAGCAATTTCATGTGAGACATTGTGACTGTCAAGCTTGAAGCACTCAAACATGCACAAAACTGTTCAAGAGCCATTCACACCACAAAAGCTACAAGGCTTCTCTTCACAAAGTTTCGGTCCAAACATTGTAAGTTCCATAAACTATGCTCTCCAAAGCTCCAAAATGTTTCTAAACACAAAGTTCCGTGAGGAACACTTGCCCAAACACTTGCACTCCGAAACCAAAAACCTGCCTGAAAAACCTACTACCTTACTTATAAGTAAGTAGATTACAAACGTTCTAAACACAAAGCGAAAGCACGAGCAACAGTTCACAAGCAAAGCGAAAGCACTCGCACCACTTCTACGCGCACCTTGAGCCAGTGCTCAAGTCTTGAGCCAAAGTTATATATGCACAAAAGGCTATGAGTTGAAAAAACCCAACGAATGCTTAACATATGAATCCCAGATTTTGTGCCTGGGGGCATGAATATATAGTCACGCAACATAAAAGCAGGGTCACGTATGTAAAAGCCATGAAGAAAGGTAGGGCACGTGAGGGCAGTACATGTAAAGAATGGTGTCACGTAAACAAACACATCAGCAGGCTTGAAAGAAGAGATAAAATATCTGTACAAACCATCACTTGGAGTCCTATTTCATTAGAAGGGCCCCGTGTGTGGCACTCGGCGGGAACCTTCCATGCCTGGTTTTTCAACGAGCCAGCGCCAGTTTTTCCAAACGTGATCTAGATATTGAGTCACGAGGAAACGATACGATACGTACTCGGATGTCTTCGACGAAGAGCTCCATAAAGGGCTTTACTAACCGGGTACCCTTGTTCATTAGCAATGTGCTAACCCTCGGTGAGTGCCTCAGCACTTGTCCTGGGCAAAAGAAGTTCAACCCCGCCGATCTCATGTTCATCGTGTCCATATACATCAGTTAGGTGGTTTCACATGTGGCACTTGAGCAGTCAGGTAGATACCAGACCCTTTGCACCTGGACGGGCAGGACATTAGGACTGTTTCGTGGCAGTGACATCCTGGCTCAAACCACGAGATCTCGTACAAGTCAAACCCCATGGCGACCCCTAGTGCCTCCAGCCAGGACTCATCCAGGTGGTGGAAATGACCACGAGCGTTGCCAAATATGACAGACTGGAGGACCTAGAAGACCACGTAGTGGACTATCTAGCCTCTGTAACTGACCTCGATGTCTTTGGATGCACGTTGGACTTCGTACATCCCACAATGCAAACGTATCTCGAAGATCCGATATGGGAGGTGTTGCAAACAAACACGCAGTTTACCATCGTGCTTAGGGACTGCCTCGCTTTCCTCCATTCGAAGGAAAGTTTTGACGGATGCCCATATCGTGACATCCCACAAGCAGTCCAAGTTCCAACAAACCTGGCAGGAATCGTTCCCGCGGGTGCTTTTATCGCTGTGCCACGCCATGTCAGTGTCGAAGCAGGCACAAACGCAATTGGAGCTGAAGCCTGGCAAAGCTGCCGACATCTTCGAGTGGTCAGGATGCCCAGTACTGTGGTGCGATTTGCGGATAACACCTTCCGAGGGTGCCAACTGCTCAACAGCATCACAGCACCAGGCTGTGTAGAATTTGGCTACACAACATTTGCAGATTGCTGCTCTCTGCAGAGGATTCACGCCAACGGAGGAGGGGTCAACCAATTTCGAAGTGCAACTACATTCGGGCAGCACCTTTTTCGAGACTGTATCAACTTAGCCACCTTTGCCCTTCTGGAGGACGGCCGCCACCAGGAGCCACAGACACAGGCTGAGGCTAAAGTACT